ACTAGAGGCTGACAAATGTCATAACTATTATTAGAGAAAAAAAGAAAGCAAAGATAGGAATTACTGTAATTTTTTGATCATTCAGCAAAGGTAAAAAAAGGCAAACCGGTTGACAATTTCTTTGTATTTTCAAGAAATATTTGACAAAGTCCTGCAAAAAGGCTATTAAGGGAATTAATAATTTGCCGGGGGCCTGAAGGACGTTCACTAGCTCACCGCTGCGGCAACGTGCTGGCTATCTAACTCAAGTATAAATTTGTTGTCATTGCTACCTACTCAAGCCATATGAAAGAAAACGTTGCCAAACCTCCAGGATTGTCCTGGAGTCTCTCGGAATTAAAGATTCCTTCAGTCCAGGAATACGTCCAGCCAAAATTGGTAACCCTAACGAAAGAAGAAGATTATAGGGCAAAAGGTAGTGTAGTAAACCACAAGTGTAGCTGTGATCATTTTTCACTTTGCAAGGTTAACAGCTGTGCCCAAGTTTTTCATAGTAGAACTGATATTTAAATATATTTTTCAAATATCTTTAAAAAAAAGCGGTGAACAACAAATTGGCAGAACTTCTAGATGACAAAGTTGTCTTCACTAAGTTAAAATAAAGAAGGTGAACAGACAGCAAAATTGCAGGTGAAATTCTGTGTTAAACAATAAAAGGTAATACTCATGAGTAGTGCAAACTATTTCTTCTAATAGGACTTGGATTGAAATTACCTGTAGACACTCAGGAAACAGAGTATGACTGGAGATAGAGAAATTTGTATACAAGGAGAGACCAAGAAGATTGGAACTGTTCAGTGAGGAGATGAATAAGAGTGGGCATGATGAAAAGGTACAAAATAATGAATGTTACGGACAAAAGTAGATCATGCATTTCTATTTACCTTCTCTTATATTACAAAAGCAAAGGGACATTCAATGACAGTGAAATGCAACCAATTTAAGACTGAAAAAAAGGAATACTTTACACAGTGCATAGTTAATCTATTAGCCTCAGTATCTTGTAGCAATGAGTTCAAGAGTTTAGAAGGATAACACTTATAGTGTCAGTAAGAACATCCAGTTACATTAGAGATGACTAAAACAGCAAACTTCTCTTGTGGACAGGTTACTCCATAATTGTCTATATGGGGTTTCTTGTGCTTTCCTCTGAAGCATCTGGTACTAAGCACTGAAATAGTTACACCATTGGTGTGCTCTGGCACCAATTTGTATGTTCATAGGCTGAGTGAGAGATGTGTAGAAAAACAGCACCTCTTAAGTATTAGATATGTTTTTAAAATAGATGCACCCCTCCTGCCTAAATGTCTCACTGCTTCTATCAGAGTAGCCATGCACTCTTGTAACTTGACTGTAAAGGATTAAACTTCAAGAGTTTACAGTCATTCACTTTGCATGCCACTTTAATTTATTTTGAATAGAAGCTTGATGAAAAAGCCATGATCAAGATAACTTTAGAAACTGCAGTGTTACAGTTGCTATATCTTACATTCGAAAAAGTGTCTACACAAATGCCACAGGGTACCCTCTAACACAAAAAAGGACTTCAGTCCCATGAAGGGGATGGATACTTCATGCTATGTGGCTTTCACCATGAGCAAAATTACCCATTCTTTACAGTGGATTCAGCTGAATCTGCGCTAAACATGGTTCCCATGCACTCATTGTGAAACCTGTCAGGAACAGATAAGTATAGACAAGGCTATACAGCAATAGTCTTAGCAATGGTTAATATCATCATTCCTGATCCGATTGTGCCCATTCCTTTACAAAGAAATCTGCAGAGAGACTAGTACATCTTCTGAGTTAATAAATTTCTCTACATTATCCAGCATGCACTTTCGCTGAAGAGTCATTCTTCAGATGAAGATCTGCTAGTGATTTTCTGCTGAAATTACTCAGTTAAGGGACCTATTCTCTGGGAAGCCATTTTTGTAGTCTCTCCTCTCTCTCTCTATACCCCAAAAGCCCCTCGTTTTATATATCTGCAAGAAGAGGTAATTTGCACTGGCTAATTAACCACAAATAACCAACACACCATACCAACACACTTTAATTTCTCTGCAATGGTGAAATATTCAGTTTATGCTGGCTAGCTTTTATTTTCAGAAATGATAAAGTTGTGAAGGGGTGAGGAACTCATTACTTCTTACTACAGAATAGTGAAAACTTAGATATTGGGCAGAACTTGTATACCCAGGTAGTATTAAGTATGTTCATATTTTTCACCGCTCTGTGAAGGACAAAATAGATTTTCCATTCCTATGTGGCATAAGATCAACTAACCAAGTTCTTAGAAAAACTACTAAGAGCAGACTTTAGTAGTATTTTGAAAGTCTTCCAAAAGCAATAATTCCTACATCTGAATTAGTTCAGTTTTAAGGTCTGTACAACATTTATATTCTATGAAGACCCCACAATCATTTAGCCATTTGTATCACAAGGAGTACCTACATTACTGCTTGCTTGAATACATCTTCTATGTATGTAGCTTGCTGCAAATGAAAAGTGAGTTGGGTTGTTGTCTGCTGGGTGAGTGGAAAAGAAGAGAGAAAGTAAGAAGATAATAGCTAGCCTAAGAACAAGAGAGGTACACCACTGGGATCTAAAAGATTATCAGTCTATTCATCCCATGTCTTATATATAGTCTACTCCAGAATGTAGTCAAAACTACCTAAAGCCCCCACAAGAAGCTGCCGAAAAAACTGGAGATTTAAAATGCCCATTTAAACTGTCCTTGAAGAGAAATGCACTTTTCACTTCCCACCTGGTGTACCAATTTCATGAGAACAAATCCTTATATGAATTAGGCACCGAAGGACCATAACTTGTCTTGAGTCACATTTCTGTCTGAAATATTGGCCTTACTATTGTATAAAGTTGGTATAATTAAAATATCAGGAAAAAAAAGAATTTTGGGGGTTTACTCGGTGCATTTTATAGCATTTTCTTTATAATCCACACTACTGTTTCCTGTGTATAGTGAATTAGTCAAATTTCCCCAACTGATGTTCCGTGCAAAGAAAAAAGGAGAAAGTCATTTAAAAAAAAAAAAAGAGAGAGAGATCATATGTTTTTTCCATTATACTTGGTAGGGGCTGTCCAACCAAGTGTGCTGCTTGGGATGATTTCAAGACATTTTATAAAAATTCCAGTTGGCCATGGGAAAAGATTTCCAAAATGGCTAAGTCACTTCAGAGTCTAAATGACTTAAAATTTACCCCATCTCTCTACTTTACAAGTTCTGATGAACACTGAATAACTAGTGTACAGTAGTTTTCCAATACAGAGAACATTCTATAAAAGTTGGGAAGACTACACATTAAATCTAATTTCTGTTCTGTAGGGAACCTGGAAGAGGAGCTAGAATAAATCTTTCCTTCCCTGGTACCTACTGTTAAGTTAATGTAACAAGCTATACTTTAAACTATGGTTCAACTCTGAAAGTGACTAAAAATGTCACTGAAAGTTTTCATGTTTCTCCCATTCTCGGATCTGAAAGTCAAGCTGGGTTCTTTTCTTCTTGTGTGTCAGCACCAGAAAGAGAGTTCTGCAAACCAAGTTATGATCAATGAAACCTGCACAACTCTGCTGTCTTTGGTGGATTTGCCCAGGTTACTAAATGTAATTAAATAATTCTGAGGATGCCAAATAATAGAATACAAATTGCTTTCTTAGCTGATCTGGCCCTGCAGAGCCAATAGGAGTAAAATGGTTTGTCACAATGCAAGTACGTATGACTAGAGTCACACAAAGAAATGATCAGTTCAGTAGTGAGATGCCATTTTCATTCACTTTTCAGAGTAGAAATTAAAAATGTAAACATGAAATAGATGTTATCCCAGTCTGGAAAGGGCAGAAACACCAATTTGCTGTTTTTCTAGCTATTGTTTCATGTCTTGTTGCTGAAATACTCCCTAGTTCCATACTCATTAGCAAAAACCTGTTATAGAAATAACAGTGTCCTTTAATACAACTCCTGGTGCCCTATTCAAGTCCATAGTGCTGAGAGACCAAAGACTAGATCACATGGCCATGAAAGCATTCATTCCACTAAAGTTAAAATGACAAAATTCTACATACCAGACTTCCTGTACCAGAAAAACTTATCGACAATAGAAATTAAAAGCTCATTTGCTCTGCATTTCATGTCGGACCTATGTATTTTGCTTATAACTTGTGAACCACCTGGAAACCCAGTTCCTTCTATGGAGCTCCCTCTTGACAAGTCCATTTCTTAGTATGAAATCCTTACCCCATGATGCCCAACGGAAGCTTGAAGTGAAGGTGCTCTATGGACGATTCCCAGAGGATTTTCCTCGCCTCTCCACCACCTGGTTCTCTACCCCTCTGGTCCGACGTTCCCTTAGCGATGGTGACACGAGTCTGGGTCACCACGTTTCCCGGCTTGATTATATCCCAGGCTTTTCAGAGAAATCCAAGTGGCCTCGCGCTCCTATTAGCAGGGCTTAAGCGCTGCCCTAGCGGGTCAGCGCCTCCCACAACGGGAGTCCGTAGGCATGTGGAGTTGTAGCCAAAGAAATCACAATCCCCTCTGGAAGGAGAAGGAGCCGAGGCGTCCTAAGGAAGAAGCCCGAGGGGGGTTTCTCCCATATCCTCTCGGAGCACGGTCTTCTCCAGCCCTAGAGTAACTCCAGCCCACTGCCAGAGGAGATGGCCTCGGAGGTAGTAGCAAACAGCAAATCCCCTCCCCACAGCCAGCCAGCCTCTCCTTGCACGGGGAGAAGGGGAGACGCTCGCCTCTCACGGGGGCGAGGGACCCTGCAGCAGCGTTTATCCCCCGGGTAAGCAAAGCCCCAGGGCAGCGCGAGCTCGGGGTATGTCAGGTGCAGCGCGGGATGGGGCCGGCGTTATGCGCAGCGCTCCCCGCCGCTTCTCCCTCTAACACCCCCGCCGGCGGCAGCAGCAGCAGGATGGGGGGTATCGATTCATTTTCCCGAGCAGCAGGCGGAGGCGGAGGGAGCCGTTTCACCGGCGCTGGCATGAGGCTCCCCGAGAGCGGCAGCAGCAGCAGCTATGCGGGAGCACCGGTGGCACATCCCCCGCAGACAGAGGCCCCGCTACCCGGCCGCCGAGACGCGGGGCGCCGCTCCCTCTTCCAGCAGGGACAGGTCCTTTCAGTCACGCCTCATGCTGCAGCGACCGACCGGGCGAGCATCTTCCTCCGGGCTCGGAGAGGCGGATCAATCACCGAGAGCGGCAGCGGGGGATGGGAGCGGCAGCGCCCCCCGCTCCCCTATGCCGCAGGGGAACGGTAAGGACCGAGGGACTGAGCCGCGCGGCCCCCCCCGCTCCCTGGCCCCGCACAAGGCGGCGGGATCCCAGTGTCGCGCGGCGACTGGCGTATCGCAGCTGGGAGCTCAATGTCGGGCTGCACCCGGCTGCTCCAGCGCCCCCGAGACGCCGGCTCCCCGCGCACCTCCCCCCTCCCTCACACCCGCCCCCGCTCCAGCTCCGCTCCTTCTCCGCCTCCCTTGCTCCCGGGAACAGCAGCTCGTCGGCGCCGGGGAACAGGCGCTGCTTGCCCCGGCCCCCTCGTCTCTTTCTCCCTCACCCCTCGGGTGCCGGACCAGGCGCTTGTTCTGTCAGCGAGACCGCGGCGACTTAGCGGTCCCGGCTGGGCACTTGCCCCGCCTCCTCCCCGTGGCCGGGCACCCTACGGTCCCCAGCAAGCTGCGCCGCACGCTCCCTCCCTGTGCTCTGCAGCCCCGACGCTTCCCACAGCTGCACCTGCTTGCTCTGTCTCCATCCTCCGCTTGGGGACCTTTAAATAGGACACGTCAGCGCGTTCCCCTACGCACCAACGTCACACACTGCTCCCGGCGCTGACGTCATCGGGGTGCGGGGGATGATGTCAAAGTGTTCCACGCCGCCGGAAGCGTTTCTATATTAGGGAATGGAACGGAAAAGCAGAGGGAAACCTCGGCTGCCGCCCACTTCCATGAGTGATCTTCCCCAGAGTACTAGCTGTGCCTTGTCCCAGTGCATTCATCTCCCACCTCCTCTGCCCACCTCACAGATTCTCCACAGAACACCTTGTGTTCAGCAAATGGGAAGAAATCTGGAGTGTGCTCATTCTTGGCTCTCAAGTCCCAAACTGTACCATCAAAATAGTTAACAAGTCCAGCTGCCTCCTATTCTACCAGAAAATAAAAATGCATACCAGATGCATCTCAGAGAATAAACACTACAAAAACTTGGAGCCCCTGAGACCTAGCCAATTTTTGGTTTCCCTCTATACCTCCTGAATTGCATAGCCTGGATAGAGAACAGTTATAGCAGGATCTTTGCAATTTTTGGCCCAAAGCCCCAAAATATATAATCTAAATATAAAACAAAGTATGCCTCTACTACATCACTCTAAAAATCCAGAACCTGATGCATTGCAGCCCAATCCAGTGCCTGCTTTCTGCCAATTTTTAATTCCAATTTGGGTTTTTTGGTGTTCATTATATCAAAATTTAACAGCTCCTAGTGCACCAAAAAAAATCCTGATCCTGTTGTAAACTGGCACACTAGCACCATAAAGATATATATCCAATCCTTAGATCCAGCTACTTTTACAAATCCAAAATCTCCACATTCTACCAGGTAAATACAGAAGTGCAGCACCTTCTCCAGTTTTACTGCAAAAAATGTAAATCTCATGCACTCCTGCTAAGTAACACTGCAAAGACACACCAGCACCTAGAGTTTTCCAGATCCTACTATTTTTGGCCCACTCCTCCAACTGTATTGTCAAAATAGATAACACATGTTGCTGCTGCTACTAGACCGGAAATTGCCAGACTCTGTTAGAGCCTGGTGCTAGTTTAATGTAAAATCCTTTATCTGGCACCTGAATCTTTGTAGATTCAGCAGATTTTTGTACCTAAATTTCTAAATACTAATGCATAAATAGAAATCAAGGGCAGCTGATCCTTGGCAAAGTTAGTACAGTGAGGCAGTTATATCAAAGAGTCTCAATCTGTGGTCTGTGGTGTGCTTTCCATCAGATTAGGCAACCAAGAATTCTTTAAATATTTTCCTCATAAGCAATCTAGTTAGCACAGGGACACTATGCAATCATGAATGAGAGGGGAGGTATCCATGAGACACTCAAATTGTCTACCTGTACGTAAAAGTCTGATTAGCCCCGAGTTATACCGTTGGGGTACATAGGACACTGCCTCACTCAGAAAAATGACAAAACAAAAACAAATAAAACAAGAATAAAATAAAATTATGTTCAGAGCTTTTCCTTTATCAGACAAGCTCTTCCTCATATAGGATAGCTGCATGACAACAACTACAGTACATCCAACTGAGCATATTTCAGCAGGGAACTCTAAAGCTGTAGCATGATTTTATTGAACGACTTGGCATTGAATGACTGACATTTTCAAAAAGTGATCTTAATTGATAAGTGTGAGTAGATATGATGAGTTAGAATGCCTTACCTAGCATTTTGACCTACAGCAGTAACTGGACACAGGTAAAGAGGACTTCTTACAAAGCAAGAGGAGGCTGACACATTACACAGCAAGGGAAATCTTCTCCAAAGGAAAATAAGTACAAAAAAAAAATAGTGTGAATCATTCATATCAGCAGCATGGAGGTGTCAGGTGGATTTCATCACAAGGGAGGAAACAGCAGTTTCCTTAGTTTCACATTTCCCACTCCCTCCCTCGCAATTAAGAGTACAGGGTAGGCATTCATCTATGAAAACTTTAGAATCAGTGGTGTAATTTGCTATTAGCAATGTTCAAAGTATGCATAATTGAAGTTAGCATATAATACTCTCAAACTGTGGCTGTCTTTTTCATATCTCATTTGTTTTTGTGCTTTTTATGTGACTTTAGAAATGTAGATTTGCTTTTTATGTGACTTTAGAAATAAAACTATTTGTAATGGACCCCACTGGCAATGGGTGTTCTGGGAGGAATAAAGCTGTATATCACTCCTTTCTTCCACACAGTAATAGTTTAGGATTAAACAGACCAGGACTAAAAAATAGGCCAATTATTACAAATATAATCCTTGTTGTTGAGGGGATAAAAACATGTTTGTATTATTAACCCATAATGTGACACATTTTGCTTGTGGCAACATAATTCAAGGGTAAAGAAATTAACAAAAGCTCCAAGTTCTTATGAGAAATGCCATGCATCCACCAGTTCTGTTCTCTCAACCAGGAGTTCTGAAACTGGTGAAAATGCTATAGAATTTACTGATGTCCAAAGTGAGATGTTTAAAGATTCCAGAGATGGCTCAGTCTGTCTCTACCATTCAACTTGTTCACATTTTTGGCCATCATGAAATACAACATTGTTTTCCCAGCACACAGGACCAAAAACAGAAGTTCCCAAGTCTGGACAAAATAAATAATAAAACCCACCAACCAAATCCTGAGGGAAACAACTGCATATTGTCTTGAGAACCAGAGCTGTGAGCAGATTCAGAGCAGAGAGACTGAGCCATCTGGGCACCCAACATTAGTGGGTACTTTTGACCTTAATCTCCCTCTGCCTCATTTCCCCACCTGTAAAATGGGGACAATACTGACATATCAGAAGACTGTTATGATACAAATTGATGTTTGTGAAGCACTCAGATACTGTAGTGGTAAGAGCCAGAGAAAAGCCCATGAGGAAATCAGTTGGTGTATTCTGAACAAGGTTTGAATAGTGTGCAGTAAGTAAACCATGGGGCACAACATTGAACAATGAGGAGAAAACAAAATATTGAATAACTGCTCATTAAATGAACACTGTCTATGCTGTGCGTTGAATAAGGCAGGGGTCCTGTGGGAAAAATATTATATAATTAAGAACTGTATCATAATGCATATGCACAAGGCATCTGAATTAGGATTGCACAGGTAACCTTAATTCTAGTTCTTGAGTGCTTGATTTTTGCAACCTTAGTAATGTTATTTTAACTTGTTTTTGTGCAAGCCAGGATCTGAATGAGCTCTCCCCTTCAGGTCCAATTGAAGAAATGTTTAGTTATGAAAAACAGGGGGAAGTGGCCTTTAATTTGAAACATAAATCTTCAGAAGTAATCTGTACACAAGGTTTCAGTTAATTTAATGTAGGAAGTTTGAAGCACACCTCCCAACAGTCCCAGGTTTTGCAGGACTGTCCTGTTTTAACCCCCAAACCCTTCTGTTCTGGGTGAAGCAGCTCCTGTCCCATAGAGCTGGCTGGGCTTGGCTCTCAATTCTGGGCATTGAGTCCTGGCCCCTAGGAAATAGGGTTGCACCACGACTCAAGTTGGGCCCGTCCACCCCTCCATAAATGGAGATGGAGGGGTGGAGAGGCTATATGTGAGAGTGGCGCAGGCAGCACCTGACAACCCCTCAGGCCTCCTGCTCCTTGGGGCAGCACCTGGCCTGCTTTAGCCACTTCAGATATTGTGAAGTATGTCATCGTGTCTGCATTATTCGGTTAAGAAAATTCAGGACCAGAAAAGGAACACCTCATGTGACCAGATTCTCAACACAATATTAATAAGTAGGAAGGAACACAAGCCAAAACAGGGAAAAACAACAGGTTAAAGAATATTTAGATGAGTTAGATCAGTGGTTCTCAGCCAGGGGTATGTGTACCCCTGGGGGTACATAGAGGTCTTCCATGGGGTACTCAATTCATCTAGATCAGTGTTTCTCAACCTGGGCGTTGCGACCCCCATGGGGGGGGTGTCACAGGATACGTTTAGGGTGGGTCACAAGTGCAGGGCCAGCATTACAAGGTGGCTCACAGGGGGCCCTGTGGAGTTAAGTTATATGCTTCAGAACTGGGTGGTGGGACTCAGGCTTCAGATAAAGGCTCACATGTGAAAAACAGGCTCAGGTATCACACTGAAATTAAGTACAATATTTATACTGCAATCGATTTATTTTATAATTATATGGTAAAAATGAGAACTTAAGTAGTTCTTCAGCAATAGGGTGCTGTGACACTTTTGTATTTTTAGGTCTGATTTTGTAAGCAAGTACTTTTTAAATGAGGTGAAACTTTGGGTACACAAGACAAATCAGATCAGTGAAAGGTAATCTGTAAAGGTTGAGAACCACTGAGCTATATGTATTCAAGTTGGCAGGGCCTGATGAAATTCATCCTAGGGTACTTAAGGAAGTAACTGAAGCAATCCCATAACCATTACTGATTATTTTTGAGAACACATAGAGGAATGGTGAGGTCCCAGAGGAGAGAAAGGCAAACATAGTATTTATCTTTAAATACAGGAACAAAGACGACCCAGGGAATTATA